AAACGACGCCGTTTATGGCGTTTTCTATGAAGATGGGCTGAACCTTTTGGGCTCAATTGATTATTGATGGGTTGGGCCCAAAAGAACAAGGCTGGCTAAGGCTTCAGCACTTCGGGGCTAACAGGTTTTGGAGTTTTTAGGTTTTTGCTTCTCTTTCTATTTTCCTTTTTCTCTGTTTTTTATTCATGTATCTCTCTCTCTCTCTCTCTCTCTCTTATTTTTTACATTACATTAGTTTTACTTTAAATATTTAAATTTATATTTTATATTTTATTATTTTTTTAAAATTAATCAAATGTTAATTTTGAAAATAAAATTAATTTGAATAAATTTTTCGTTATTAAATTCTACCTAATAATTAAATAAATAATTATTATATTTTATTAAATTAAATTTAATGTTTATAGAAAATACTGAATTTTAAAAATTATTTTAAAAAGTTAAAAATAAAATAAAATACCATGTTGCAATTTTCAATTTTATTTTTGAAGTTTTGATATATGATAATTATGTAGTTGTTCAACCAATAAAAGCCAAAAATGGACCGGCTGTATGCTGTTCGTGACACCATTAAAAGCCGAAAGATACCGAATAAGCTCAACCGAAACGACGCCGTACTCTTCCCTTGACCAGTATCCAGTTATCCAGGCGTTGACTCCTCTGCTACTCCAAAAATTTTCCTCCGTTCTCTCTTCGCTCCTCTCTCTTCTTCAACCTCCTAAACCCCCTTCAAATAGCCCAACCACCATTAACGACAACAAAATTGTACATCATATTCATTTCTCTCTCCGTACATAAAAATAGCACAACAAACAACGACGATAACCACAGAAGATTTGGCAGCCTCACGGCGACTTATTTTCTTCCATTATAGGGAAAGAAAGGGGCATAACCATGTCGTGGCTGAGGAATGCTATGAACAAAGCGGTGGAGGTGGGAAACAAGAACAACATCACGCGCACTGTCAAGATTTATGCCGACTCCGTCGTTCAACAAGCCGGCCATGCCGTTGCCGAGGGGGCCAAAATCCTGCAAGATCGCATTGTAAATTTATACTTAACTTCTTTCAATTGTTTTTAAATACTTCTCAAATTTAGTAGACGTCTGTCTTTCTCTAATTTTGAAGTAGGATTTGAGTTTTCGTATTTTAGGATAAATTGTGTGTGCCTCTGTTTTTTTTTTAATTTGATTTTAATTCTGTACATTTTATTTTATGCCTGCTGGTTCTGTAAATTGTAGAGGAAAATGTGTGATTAAAAATGCAAATTAAGTGTGTTTCCGAATTGCATAAGCTATGGCCATTGTTTGTCAGTCTTGTGCAAAATTTTGGGATAAACGGGTACTGAATTTAGTGGATGATGATTCCTCTATTAGTTGCATAATTTAAATTTATTGACACTTACCTTTATTTG